TGAGAGGTTGAGAATGGGTAGTGACAGTTGGGTGAGAGGTAATTATTTCAAGTTTCGTGAAACGTACGAAAAATAACTTGTTTCATTCAGAAGTTTTTGAATATTAAACTGAGAGAGAAATCTTGTTGAAAGGTGAAAACTTTATAATAATATTTTGTCCAAATCGTTTACATGTTAAACTATCTAAACAAATAATGATGTGTATTATCAAAATTTAATGTTACTTCAGTTACATTGGTATTGCACACAACTCAAATGTTTAATACCAATTTATGTAGGATTTGTTAAATCTTGCCGCATTTGAAACCATTCTTCATGGTAGGATATACAGAAGTGACACAGAAGAGGACTCCATGTCGTTTTTTCCAGTCTGTTATGGGTTAATTTTGACAAATGTTCTCATAGCATTGTAAAGACTTAAGACCCAGCTAAGACAAAAGTAATGATGAGACGGCGGATGATGAGAAGAAAAACTCGGTGAACGATGAAATACATTATTTAGATTAGTCCTATCTGTTCCTTCTGGTATTGTTTTATATTGTATTTATTTTTACTCTGGTATGAATAATATAGGTGACGATATTGTTAAACCGGTTCCCTATGAAGTATTCTTAATCGATCAAGTAGTATACGTAAAATGCATACCGTATATTTAGATTACATATCTAGAAATTGCTTGATGCGGCAAATAAATTTAAAAAACAAAAAAACAACGCCGAATTATGTGAAAGAAATTTAAAGGGTGTAATACCTAATGAGATTCAGGGCATTACATTTTGTTACAAACGAACAGTGATGTAATTATATAAAGAAACAAACGACTGACGGCGTCACTTCGTAGTTATATATAAATGTAAACAAAAACATATAAATGATAATTTACTTTGCAGTTTGGAACAATAAACAAGGACTGGAAAGAACTGGAAGTTGTATACATTGACGTCACAAAATATGATACTTTGGAGAGCACTGAAGCACTGAATTTTGTGCGGGAGACAGCTAATGAACGAGTATAATGTTAACAAATTTTTGCAGAGAATACAAAATCAGGAAGTCTTAATACCTAGGCACAGCGATGTCCGTATTCTGGTTAGAAGCATATTAATGAAACTGACTTCAATGTGTTCGAAAATTCGTTTTAGTAAACTCTTTGTACTTTGATATAGAATATTTAAATATCACTGAATATTTTAAATACATTTAAGAATTTTGGAATTGAAAATAATCTGACGTTGACAGTGACGTCCATTTACACAGTGTCTAATTCGAAAACTATGTATTAGCAATGGTGCGGGGAAAGGAAAAACGAAAGATAGGGATGCTGAGCGAGGAAGAACCAGACAGGAAACAAAAAGGTTCGGATGGAAGGCCGGACAGGGCAGGGAGGAGAAAAGTGCGGGGCGGGAAAGAACGAGGCAGCACAGTGAGAAGAACATGGTCGAGCAGAAAAGAACAAGGCGGTATAGTGAGGAGAACGTGGCGGAGCAAAGAAAGGACGAGGCGGGGAAGGGAAAATAAAACGGTGGGTCGGGGAAGGCCAAAGCAGAACAGAAAACAGTGAGAGGGTCATGGCGGGGGCGGGCGGGTTGGGCCTCCGGTGCGGGGCCTGCGTGGCCTGAGGCGGATTCCTGCCGGAACGCTCCCGCTCGTTCCCCCCCCCTCCCCCTCCCCCCCCCCCGGCCGGAGGCGGACGCTCCGAGCGCGGAGGCAGCGCCCTTGTAATTAAGGGCAACTCAAACACATTTGTGTAGTATGACAACCGGCAGGCCGGTCGTTTAGCCCCGTCGGCCCGGCGGGCCCCTGTCGCCGGCCCCCCCCCGCGTCCCCCGCCCACGGCTCCTGCGGCGGCGGCGGCGTGAAAAACGCAGGGGGCGTGGCGGCGGCGGGCCGGCGGAAAGCCCCGAAATCTTAACCTGCGCGCGCAGGTACTGCGAGGCGGCAAAAGGACTGCACACCTCGCGCGGTGGCCGGGCGGGGCGGCCCGGGCGACAGGGGCAGGGTGCGCGCTTCGCGGTCTGGGTCTCTTGAGGCGGTGGCGTGCGGACGGAATAGGCGCGGGGTGGAAGTGAAGTATATGGCCATGGGCCGGTCGGCTGGGCCTGTAGTTGAGGGGGGGGAAGAGACGTCGTAACGTCTGTAATGTGGCTTTCTGAGAAAAGCGGGAACTTGATTATATCGACGAGATTCGGAGCGCGCTGGACAGACCTCGTAGATTGAGGTGCAGATAGTTCAACTGGGAGAGATGCGCGGCGTAGTGTTGTAGACTTGCTGATGAGCGGGGTCCGGTTGAACAGGGGACCAGGAACAAAGTGGGAGGGTGTGTGACGGCGCAGGCGCTCCGGTCAGATAGGGAGCGTTAGGTGGAGTAGGATGGAGTACAGGTGAGTACGTCCGCAGACGCACGCACACCACGCAGCAGAGTGGAGGAGGTGCGGCAGAAAGCGAGAGAGAGAAGAAAACGCAGACGAGAGAGAGAAAAGAGGGAGAGAGAGAGAAAAGAGAGAGAGTGAGGAGAGGACAAGCAGGCGTCTGCCAGAGAGCAGAAAAGAGGGGAGAGAAAAGGGCAGAGAAGAGAGACGACAAATAGTAGAAAATGAGGAGATATGTAAAATGCAGGCAGGTGCCTTACGTACGTAGGCTAGCAGAGCACGCAGAGCCACCGGCCAGGAGTACGCGCGGGCCGCCGCCCCTTCACACCTGGCCGACGAGGCCGAGGACGGAGAGAGGCCACGGCGGGCAAGGCGGAGAAGCAGATGGGAGGAGAGGGGCGAGGGACGAGACGGAAGGGCGGAGAAGAGGCGCAGGGGAGAGAAGCCGGACCGAAAAGAGAGAGCACGCGAGAGAAAGAGAGAGAGAGAGGAAAAGAGAGAGAGAGGAGAAGAAGAGAGAGAAGAGAGGCAGAAAAGAGAAGACGAGAGAGAAAAGAAGACGAGACGTAGAAAAAAGGAGAGAGAGAGAGAAGAGAGAGAGAAAAAGAGAGAGAGAGAGAAAAAGAGAGAGAGAGAAAAGAGAGAGGAGAGAGACACTAAGCGAGTGCTAAGGATGTGAGAGAGCCAGATACACGAGAAGTGTGTGAGCAGACTAGATGTGTTGATGGCCAGAGTGTTTTGTTGTTGCTGGAGGTCAGATGGTAGAGGAGGACAGAGACGG